TACCCTGGATGAAAATTATGTAAATTCATGATTAATAAAGGTTATCTTAGGACATGAAAAGTTGTTTCCATTATATGTAATTGTAAAAAATGCAAAAACACCCACAAAAACTGTAAAATACAACAGGGGACAAAGTATTGGTAAAAAAGGAAAAATGCCCATACAAACTGCAAAATGCAAAACTGAAAATTTGTATGTATCTCTCCATGGACCCAATAAACCTTCATGCCAAATTTAGTGAAGATCCATCAACAAGGGGCGAGGTAGTGGTAAAAAAGAAATATGTAAAAATTCCCATAAAAACTTGCAAAATTGAAAATTTGTATGAATCTCCCCATGGACCCAATGAACCTCCATTCCAAATTTGATGAAGATCCATCGATAGGAAGTGAGGTTGTGGTAAAAACTGAGAAACACAGAATGTAAAACTGAAAATTTGTATGTATCTCCCCATGGACTCAATGACCATGCATACCAAATTTGATGAAGATTCACCTACAGGGAGGGAAGTAGTTACATTGACATAGAACAGACAACAGGCAGTAGTATTATAGTTATATAGATATACTGTTTCACAGACTATGAAATGTTCCTATATGCAAACTAAGTAGAAAATTATGCTGCAGTCCAGGGTAGGTAAGTTACCATTGCTAACTTGTGTAGTCTCAGAGCTAATTGTAAATAAGTTATTTGTACCCTTGTCATTTAATAAGTTTCTAAATTAGCTGCCAGTTTATTTTGGGTCAAATTCATTTAACCTTTTCATATTTTTATTAATGATCTCTATACAGGCTTGGTTATTTTAAATAACCTTTGCAACTAGCAGGTAATCATGAAAGCATGCATATCATGATTTTTAAATTGGCAAGTTTTTACTAAACATTACATTTTTTTAATCAAGTATTTTTACTAAAGATTTATAGAGTTAGATTAAATGCTAAGATAAAAAATACATTTTTTCATGTTACGTTTTTAAATTTCATTTGCATAACCTCTAGAACATCCTAAATGGATATCAAAAGTTTTTTGAGTAAGACTTTGTATCTTAACTGTCATCATCTTTACCCTAATACATTATGGACTTGGTCTGTTTGGAGAGTTTGATGTTTGAATATAATCTCTGTTTTCATCATTATACCTTTCCTTTAGTTAACTTTAGAATATTACTTTTATGACTATTTTATAATAGAGTAACATTTTACAATAGGAAATTCTGGTTTTAATTGTTTCACCAGCGAGGAAACTTGTAATGTAGGGATTTTATTTTCCATGTGAAATCCAGACAGCTTAGTCATTAGCCAGATCAAGTAATATATCCTCTTTCATCCCTATCTTGTTTGGTTTCTTTATTTGAGTTCAGTAGTCAGCTCTTTGTAGCTTTTTTTGTTTAGCAATACACTTTTTTGTTAATACTTGTTTGGTTCTTTTTTCGTATAAGATGGTGTAAGTGGGTTACTAAGTTATAGAAAGTATTTTAAAGCTTTATAAATTTTGCATAGAATAATAATAAAATAGATATTCAAAGATTGTGAAGACTGTTTTGCTCTATAAAATGATGATAAAATTATAGTTACTGCTAGAACTAGGTAGGCACTAGGCCTGTTTAAGAAAGATGATGATGAATGAAAATAAGAAATCCCAGTTTGCTATTCGCCTGTTTTTCGACTTTGGGATACTCTAGATAGCTGAACTGTGACATATAGACTGGAGATAGAGTGACTATACCAGGTAGCTCCTTCTATGTATCTTCTGATGATATGTAGAGAAGAAAATCCAGATGACTTTTATATTGCTTTAATACGGGTGTCCATGCCATCCTTACATAAAGAGATCTGATTAAAGTTTCCTTAGCTTATGGCACCAAAATATGTGATTAAGGATATTTATGGATAAATAATACCCTTAATTTATTTGGTTTATGCTGTAGATACATTTAAGTTCTAAATTATATTTATAAAGTAATAAGTACATAAATACTCTTGGTCAGGGGTGAAATTCTCAAAAAAAAGTAGAGGTACTCAGCTGGGTGAAGTGGACCTGTTTTTGAAAAAGAAAAATCTACATGTAATCATAAAAAAATGACAAGGCAGCTCAAATAAGTTCTGGTACTAGTAGCACCTTAAAAAATGAGTTCCATTACTCATTCCCGGTGAGTACCAGCAGAATTTCATCTCTGCCCTTAGTCTATATACAGATATGTTTAGTGTAAAATAAAATATCTTTAGTTTCTTACCCAAATCTTGTAGAAAGGTAATAAGTAAATAATGAAAAAATGAAAAGTTTGATAAACATTTTATGTGTATTAAAGAAATTTCTAGAAAAATGTATGATTTGCATTTTTTTGTATTGCAATTCATTTTTTTAATTTTTCCAAAAAATATTAGATATAGTTCTGTGATGTAACTCCAAATAATTTACAGCCTCATGATTATAATAAGAATACATTACTATAACACACACATATATTAAGTATACATTTGTTTATTTCTTAGATGGAATAGTGCACCATTTTGGTATTTTGTGGATTATGGAATCTAGTTTTCCATATTCCAGAAGAATAAATGTTTGTATCTAATATTCTTAAGATAGATAACACAATTTTAGTAAATTTCAACATGGATTTACTGTTTTACAGGTACTTTGGGGAAGCTGGTGTATTATTGGGCGTTCTGCAAGGTTCTTTTTTGCTGGAGATACTGCTTACTGTGACGTTTTTAAGCAAATTGGTCGGATGTATGGTCCGTTTGATGTTTCAGCCATACCTATTGGTGCTTATGAACCAAGGTAACAAATTACTTTGTTATGTACAAATGGAAGATTCACCTAACTAGCTTTCTGTTTTTGTGTTGTTTATGTTGTATAGAATATCTTTTTTTTATTATTTAGGAAATTTCTGAACTCTTTTAAAATACTTGAACCAAAGAAACTTATATTTACTGCATAATTTCACTAAGTAGCTTGGAAAATAATTATTGTCACATCTTTTCAGTTTCATTACTGTCTTAACTATTCTTAAAATTTGTGACTTCACTATGAAACTTTGTTTACCTGAAAAAGGAGCAATCAGTCTTAATGGATATTTATCTAAAGTATATGGTTTCTTTGGAGGCTCAGTTTTGTGAGAATGGAACTTGTGTACTTGGGCTTGAATAAAGTGCAAGGGATATCCGTTCTTTAATATAATGTTCCGTAAGGTGGTTATTTTAGTATGGAGAGAGAGGTAGTCAGAACAGATGTTATATGCTTTATTGAGGAGACTGAGTATAAGGTTACATTTAAAAGGAGTTCAGAATAAAACTGTTGAAATGCGTATATAAGCCTGCTTACAGTAAACAGATGTTGTGAAATAGTTATCTAATATGCTGATTTAGTATCAAGAAAGAGAAATTTACCATTGTTTTCAGTTTCTCAAGTAAAATTAATGTTAAGAATGTATTGAATTTATATAATCCAAGAACTGTTTGATGTGATTAAAGCTAAAAGTTCTAAAGGAACTACATCCACCTGTCCAAAATATGCTAATTATATGACAATAATACCAGATATGTTGTTTCATAATAACTTCCACAGGTGCAACATCAAATTTCTGACTGTTGAGGTGTTCTCCTTATCTGTTAGGTTCAACTCATTTTTTTTTTCAAGCTAAAGATTTTGGTCCTCTGACTTTATACGATTGGCTATCCCAATGATAGAACCTGAATAGCTTTCTGTTTATAATTACTGAGAGAAAACTAGCATTGAAACAGTATTTTTCTGAGCAAGTAAAGCTTTTTATTTGTTATCTTTGTCATAACCTGTGTGTTATGGGCTTTTATAGGAGTCTTTCATTATAATCAGAGTTTGATTATCTCTGTCATGACTAGTGTGTTATGGGCTTGTATGGGAGTCTTTTAGTGTAAGCAGGGTTTGATTATCTCTGTCATGACTAGTGTGTTATGGGCCTGCTTGGGAGTCTTTTAGTGTAAGCAGAGTTTGATTATCTCTATCATGACCAGTTTGTGTTATGGGCCTGCTTGGGAGTCTTTTAGCATAAGTAGAGTTTGATTATCTCTGTCATGACCAGTTTGTGTTATGGGCCTGCTTGGGAGTCTTTTAGCATAAGTAGAGTTTGATTATCTCTGTCATGACCAGTTTGTGTTATGGGCCTGCTTGGGAGTCTTTTAGCATAAGCAGGGTTTGATTATCTCTATCATGACCAGTTTGTGTTATGGGCCTGCTTGGGAGTCTTTTAGCGTAACCAGAGTTTGATCATCTCTATCATGACCAGTTTGTGTTATGGGCCTGCTTGGGAGTCTTTTAGCATAAGTAGAGTTTGATTATCTCTGTCATAACTAGTGTGTTATGGACCTGCTTGGGAGTCTTTTAGTGTAAGCAGGGTTTGATTATCTCTATCACGACCAGTTTGTATACTTCTCATGCTAAGCGTAGACCTGTATATCAATATATATCAATATATATATATATATATATATATACAAAGTTAGAAAAAAAATGTTCAAACTTTCATTTCTGTGCAGTTGTTATTAATTTTTCTGCTCATCACAAAATATAGGTTTATATTTACTAACAAACTATCATCTCTTGGGTACATAATGACTCGTGTCTTCTTTTTTTGTAATTTCTTTCTTTGTCCATGGTTTTTTTACTACAAGTTTTTCATTTGTTATGTGACAGTGGGAGATCTAAACATGGTTGGATAGATGAGATTATAATCTCTGTTAATACAGAGTACACAAAGTGGTTTTAGCAGTTATGGGTTGTTTATTGATCTATTAGCCAGCTGCAGATTTTGTAGGGTGAACAAAAGATCCAGATACATAATTTTGAGCACTTAGGATCAAAACACAGAACTTGGCATTTTTTTATAGTTCCTTTTGACATTCCTAGTAATATTTTATGTTTATTTGAATATTCTTTTGTGACAATGTAACTTATGTTTAACAGTTGCAATAATCTGGCTTGTGACAGCAAACTGATCAGATGACACAAGTCCTTTTTTATTGAAAATATTGTGGAGTTTACTGTATTCAAATAACACACAAATACAACAAATTATTTATTTATTATTGATAGTTTGTCTTAAGATTTGATAGGAGGTAGAAGTATTTTAAACTGTTTACTGTTGTTATGTCTTGAACTTCTCAAATTGAGTTAGCATACTTTCTATGATAGTTTGTCTTAAGATTTGATAGGAGGTAGAAGTCTTGTAAACTGTTTACTGTTGTTATGTCTTGAACTTCTCAAATTGAGTTAGCATACTTTCACTGATAGTCTGTCTTAAGATTTGATAGGAGGTAGAAGTCTTGTAAACTGTTTACTATTGTTATGTCTTGAACTTCTCAAATTGAGTTAGCATACTTTCTATGATAGTTTGTCTTAAGATTTGATAGGAGGTAGAAGTCTTGTAAACTGTTTACTGTTGTTATGTTTGAACTTCTCAAATTGAGTTAGCATACTTTCTCTGATAGTTTGTCTTAAGATTTGATAGGAGGTAGAAGTCTTGTAAATCTTAGTTGTAATTGTTTATGTATATACAGTGTTTTAAAGTAGTGCCTGAAGTAGCCATCAGCTGAAATTTTGGTTAATTGATTGACAGAGATCCTGGTGTTTTAGCTCTAGTGTGGCTATTCAGTTGAAATTATTTTCATATTTTTATAGGTGGTTCTTGAAATACCAGCATGTTGATCCTCAAGAAGCTGTCAGAATCCATGAAGATATTAAAAGTAAATGCAGTGTAGCCATCCACTGGGGAACCTTTAGGTTAGGTAATGAGGTAAGCACTATATTTACATTTTTTGTGTATTTTGTCTCAAGTGTTAATATCTTATTTCTCTAGGTGCTCGACTATTAAAAGTACAAAAATGTATATCAATTTCTCAGCATTTTTCAGTGTTTTATTTTATGTCTAATGTAGCATGCATAACAGCTGAAAATATTGTCTGGTCTAGCTTGTATGTTACAAGTATTGCAG